TCTAAAATTAATCAGAGAGCACTGAAAAATTCCAGAACATTTTGACTGGCTGCACTGTTCAGTGTCTTGTGCTAGGATGGGGTGGGCTGGGGGGTAAAAGGGGTGGGATACCAAGATGAAGATGAGCTAGTCCCTACCTCCAAGGAGCACCCTAAATTACTAGAGTCCAAGATTGGGTATGGTAAGTTTGACAACTGTCTTCTTAATATCTGTCGATATTAAAAATTTAGCATTTAAGTGCTTAGATATTTCATTAAAGTAGTGAATGGTTTTCTGTGTGGTTCTGTAACTTCAGGAATTTGCTTTTGGATTTAAAAACCATGAGTTTGAAGACAGTCATTAAAGTAGTGGATTAATTTTCTGTTATTGGATAGGCAATGATAGTTAGGTTCTAGCGATATACAAATAGAGGGTGGACCAAAAGTAAATTTACAGTTGTTTGTATGGAAAATAATACAATAAATAATAAACAAGAATAAACACTGTTTTGTGTACTCACAGCTGTAAACCTACATTTGCCTACCTTGTATAAGACTGCTCAAGTTTGTATAAGAGCATTTGGCTTCTTTGATATCATTCTGGAGGTTAAATGAAATAGCTTATTTTTTGAAGCTAGTTACATTTATAATGGGTAGTTTTATAAATTATGCTTTAATTTATCAGTAAAATATGTACTTATTTGTGGTAATAAAAATACTCATTTACTTCTATTTTTTAGTAACTGTTTTTATTATTTTCTGTATCTTGGCAAATAAACAAAATTTAGGGTATTTTTCACTCAGCTTGAATGTGTACTGTATTGTACTATGTTTGAAATGAATGAGCCTCTTTGCTCCCATAATAGAAACTATTTTGTAGAATCAGGTGGAGAAGAAACTAATATGTTCTTTGTGACAGGTATTGGGATAATTTATAGATTCTGTCTTGGTTTGTTTGGTCTCTAACCCTTCTTATCCACAAAATCCTAGCAACATTTTAAGTATCCCTGGGCAACTACTATAGAAGCAAAACTCTTTTGATCACACTTTAAATATCCTAAATTGATTCCTATGTCTGTGGTTTGGTTCAGAAATTAGGGGATTTAGTTTGCTTCCCCAGGCTAAATTCCTGAATTAATCCTTTATTTTCTGCTTACCTAGTTGCTAAGGTCGAGTTTCTTTCCAAGTTCTGCTTTTCTTACCATGTTTATTTGTTGGGGGTTGGGGGTTGGGGGTGGGGAGGGTGAGGAGGCAATGTATGTATATTTTATTGCCCAGCAACCTACAAGTATAAGGATAGGGTAGGGTCCTTAAAGTGAAACTCAGACCAAAAATATTTCACTGGAAGAAATAAAGTAAGTTAAAGTCGTAGCCACATGGAACAAGATTAATGCTTGTGTTTACAACAATTTTTTGTTCAGCCTTATTTGGCCATTTGTATAATAAGGCCTCTCTCTAGAATATAAGCATCATAGGAGGAATTCTCTTGTCTCTTTTGTTCTCTGACATGCTGTAATCTGCACTTGACACAGTACAGATGTCTAACAATGATTTGTTGATTAATTCAACCAACACACAAGTGAATGAATGTGTGAATGACACATATCACTGGCATTTTCTGGTTTTCTACTTTATTATATTTACTTTACTGAACTTTTTGGTTGATTCTATTAAATAGTGAGGGAAGAACTGTGTAGTTTCTAAAAGATTCTATTTCTTGATTTTTAAAAATGCAATATTGAAAACTGTTTTTCCTCCCTGTAGGAATTTATCTCAAATTATGAAGTTATTTATATCTCTGTAGTAGAGTGACACCTATATATCTTTACTGCTTGTGGTTCTTTTTTAGAAAAATCAACTTAAGACATTTGAAAAATAAGTTCATGTTTTTTTAGTTTCATAGAATATACATTTAGAGAAGTTTTGCTCAGATGTATTTGAAGAGTATATGACACAAGGTTTCTTTCCCTCTACTAGTTTGTGTAATGTCTCAGGATAGTTTGGGGTTATTAATGAATAGATTTATATAATTTAGCTTACCTAGTGTTAAAGAAATTTTAAAATGCGTTAGTTTTTAAACAGTGCTTTTCCTCAAAAGAAGCATTATGAGAAACAGAATAACTTACATGCAAGTCAGAATTCTCCATTTTAATAATAAACACAACGTTTTTAAAAGTAGTTCTTCTAGAACAGTGGTTCTCAAATTTTTGGTTACACTCTTAAAAATTATTGAAGGCTTCAAAGAGCTTTTGCTTATGTAGGTTATATCTATCTATATTTATTGTGTTAGAAATTAAAATGGATAGAATTTTAAAATATTCCTAAATTTATTTAAAAATAGCAATTGACCATCACATGTTAGCTTAGGTTCCTATCCAAAATTTCAATATGAACAAACAAATAATGCCATTCCCAGGTGGTTTGTTCCCATTTTTTCTGTTGAAGATCTAAACACACACCTCCAGTCTTTCACTCCATCCTATACCTTGGCTTTTGACTCTCCATCAAAAGGCGCTGGCACAGGTATGGGTACTCAGCCACAGTTATCATTTTTCTCTGCTAATTCAAGTAGGTCTGGGAATAGAAAAAGCAGAGTCCCGATTAATGCTTAAATTGTCCTTCGACACTGTAGCTGTCCGATTAGGAATTCTTGCTAACCCCTGACCCATTGTATTTGGCGCCAAAATATCTGTTCTTATCTCTCGTGTTTTCTCACAAATTGGAAGAATGAGAACAATTCATAAACCTTTTCCTTCAGTTGTTTTCTTTCTAATAAATGGCTCAAAATGCATTCAGGTAGGATTTTTAAAATCTGTAATCAGACTCCTTGTGTTCAAGGTAATAGAAATAACTAAAAGCTTTAAACTTACAAAGAAATTAGAATAATTGGCTCAGGTCAGTGTAATTTCTTTATGAAAGAGCAAATATTAATCTAATAGTTTTCCAGTGATGTATCAAAAATAGAGGGCTCAATAAGTAAATAAAATACCAACCTGTATATTGAAAAAATGAAATAACTAGAGTAAAAACATTATATTTCATTTTCAGCCTATATCTGAAAATTAACTACACTGAGTTCTTTGATGTCTTTCAAAATTGTTCTCCCATAGAAAGTTCTTCATGTTTTTTTCATATGTACAAGTAATATCCACTTATTGCATTAAAAAATTAGAAAAAGATTAAAAAGCAATTAAAAATTATCTATAATCCTTCCACCTTTGGATAGCTATAGTTCAATTCAAACATTCTGAAATATATTTTGATTATATTATAACATCATTATATTCTATATACTTTTTATAGCCTGATTTTTCAGTTGACAGAACATTATGTGTATTTTTACATATCAGTTGACATGGATCCATGTTGTCATCTTTAATCACTCCATGCTATTTCCTTATGTTTGTATTATTCTCATATATATATATATATATATGATATTTTCTACTACAACAAATAATGCTTTAGTAAACATATCTGTTCTTACATATTTGTATAAGTATCTGATTATTTCCTAATAGTGAAAATTTAGCTGTGGGATTGCTGAGTAAATGAGGCATCTACTTTTTTCCCCAAAAAAGTTTTTAATAAAATTGCAAAAATCCTCTTTAGATAGATCATACCCAATTTATACTCCCTTTCCTCCAACCCTAATCCATTCTCTAATCTATGGTTTAAAAAATCATTATTATTTTGGTTTTCATTTCTTTGAATACTTCTGAGGCTGAGGTGAACATCTTTTCAAATGTTCTGTGTGAGTTCCCTGTTCATGTGCTTTGCCTATTTTTCTGTTGGAATGTTATCCAACTGATTAATGAATATTCAGATCAATGAAGACTCTTTATAGTCTTCGTAAAGGACATCTACTGTTTATTGTATTTAATGAGTTGTTTTCTTTTCTGTGCACTTAAGGATTATTATAAGACTAGAGGCCCAGTGCACAAAATTCATGCACGGGGGAGGAGGGGTCCACTCAACCCAGCCTGCACCCTCTCCATTCCGGGATCCCTCTCATAATCCAGGAACACTGGCTCCTAACTGCTCACCTGCCTGCCTGCCTGATCACCCCTAACTGCCTCCCCCTGTGGGCTTGGTCGCCCCACGCAGCCTGCTGCTTGATCGTTTGGTCACCCCTAACTAACCCCCCTGCTGGCCTGGTTGCCCTACGCAGCCTGCTGCTTGATCGTTTGATTGCCCCTCACTAACCCCCCTGCGGGCCTGGTCACCCCACACAGCCTGCTGCTCAGTCGTTTGGTCGCCCCTCACCAACCCCCCTGCCAGCCTAGTCACCCTACGCAGCCTGTTCAGTTGTTCGTTCGGTTGCGATGGTCACTTAGGCTTTTATATATATAGATACTATAATATAATTATAATATTATAATATAATTATCTCATAGGGATTATAAGAAAGTCTAAAGACTAAATGGTATTAAAGCTCTGGGCTTTTTGACTTAAAATTTTCTCTTTGTATAGTGCCATTGGAGTGGTAAGCAGATATTCTTATGTAAGGCTAATTGTGTATGTAGTAGATGTACTAATGTTTAAAAAAATTTGTGTGGCCCCTTGACTCCTTCTTTAAGATTGAATCCAACATTGCAGGACCAACCAGTTCAGCAGATAAGAAGGGACAACAGGCCCTAACTGGTTTGGCACAGTGAATAGAGAGTCAGCCTGCGGACTGAAAGGTCCCAGGTTTGATTCTGTTCAAGGGCATGTACCTTGGTTGTGGGCACATCCCCAGTAGGGGGTGTGCAGGAGGCAGCTGATCAATGTTTCTCTCTCATTGATGTTTCTACCTCTCTATCCCTTTCCCTTCTTCTCTGTAAAAAATCAATAAAATATATATTTTTAAAAAGGGACAACAGAATCCTGGCTGAGATTTTTCTGACTGTTGGTACTGCCTTTGTTCTCCTCAGAACCCCACAGGAGTTCTGTCTTTACTGTGATCTGTGATCTCACCCCTATGCCCATCCACACGAGAAATGGCTTATCTAACCCTGGGTTGTATTTCCCTTTATTCAGAGTTCCCACGTACTGGAGAGGACTGCTTCCTCCGGCACCGAGCCCTCCATAAGTCGGCAATTACTGGAACCGGAGCCAGTCCCCATCTCCAAGGTCAGTGATGGACTGTGGTGCTCGCTCAGATGGCCTGCTGCCTGCCCTGGGCCAGCTGCACTGTAAATAACTCACACCTGACTCCCCTGGGGTAGCTGAGGCGCCCCCTGCAGGGCTGCTCTTGCACTTCTTTCTGCATGCAGTGTGTAAGGTTTCTTTGCCAGCGTGAGGAGGGAAGACATGAAAGTATATTTTGCTGGGATTTTCAGGATTACATATAGAAGTCCAGCATTCTCTATGTTTTGGGAAAAGGACAAGAGAAACTATTGTTATTCTCCATTGGAGAGATGAGAAAAGATTTCTGTACCAAACTAATAGAAAAAAATAACTGGGTCCAGTAATAATCTACCATATTGCCCATGTACTGCATACCAGGAAATATGCTAAATGCTGAAATATATTATCCCACTTAATAGAACCCTATGAACAGCCTTATGCAGTGTACGTGTTTATTACATTTTTTAAATATGGAAACTGAGAATTTGTCAGTTGCTCAAAGACAAAAAAAAAAGCTGCTAAGGGCAGAGCAGGGATTCAGACTTAGCCTTCGTTAAGGCTACTAGTGGTAAACTAGTAGCCACCCAGCAGGGCTGTTGTACACTGCGAGTCCCTGGCTCCTTCTTACATCTGGCCTTCCTAGCAGTGAGCTGAGGAGAACCTGCAGATTAAGACCTTTTCCGTCTCATGGAAGCCAGTGTTCCCACCCCTTCAGCCTTCTCTTCCTGTGACTAGCTAAATATCTGAATTCATTTTTGTCTAAAATGCAAAAATCATAAAGTCGAGGAGACGTCATCCTCCTCATCCGCAGCCCACCCGGCTCCCTGAGATTTTCAGTGGGCTGGCTCCCCTGTCAAGAAACCCAGAAAACAGGATGCCTGGGGATTTTGAAATCAAATATAAAAATAGCGCTTGACTTCCAAAGCATTTCAACTTCCAAATATATATAACTGATCCATCCACTTCCCTTGTCCTTTATTAAATAGAATCCTTGAAGAAAGAACACTCTACTACCCTAGTGTTGTGGACTGTGTACACTGTATCTCTTTATATTTTGAAGCTATTACAAGCTGAGACGTTTATTCAATCAGACAGAAGTAGATTGCTAAACTAAGGAAAGGGAGAGTTATTAAACCCCCCAAAATTTAAAATGATATGATTTCTATTGGAATGGCAAATAGAGGATGTTTAGTTGGTAAATACAAGTAGTAATCTCTTTGAAACATCAGTGTTTTCTTATAGGCAGCTAAAGGAGAGAGAACAGATAAATAAGTAAATGCAGAGGCAACGGGAAGGGCAGCTAACATTTATTAAGCACCCACCTTGAGCCAGGCCCTGGATTAGTACATATATTTCCTTCCTTGGTCAGCGCTCAACTCCACAAAGTGAGTACTGGTAACATTCTCATTTACAGAGACAGAGTAGTTGTCCAGCGTCAGATAGCTGGGAAGTATGTGGCAGAGCGGAGGGGAACAGAGACATGGTAGTGAGAGATACTCAGAGAAAGGAAGACTTGGAGACATATACAGAAACAGGAAGGAGAGGTGCTGGTGTTAAAACAACTAGGGAGCAGCAGGCACACAAGACGTCCTCCGGCCCTGCCCCTCCCTCCAGCTGCATCTGTAGCCTCTTTGGCATCTCACTTTATAGTCCAGCTACCTCCACCTGCACACAGTTCCTCACAGTAGCCATGCTCTTTCCTCCCCAGCTAGGGGGTCTACCCCTTGTACCCAGCCTGCCTGGGGTGCTCCCTGCTCCCCTCCCTTTCCTTGACCTGGAATGTCTAAAGAAACTCAGAAAACAGAATGCTTTTTTCAAATGCTGATCACTTTTCTACCCAACCCACCCTCAGCCCCAGACCACTTGGTGTAGCCAGTCCCATCACTATCACATTCATTTTTTTATTTCACATTCTTTCTTAAGTCAGGTTCCCTAGAGGGACATCCTGACACTGGGTGCTTGTAATTTGCTGGGGAGAGCCCTCTGGGGAGAGGGGTGAGGGAGGGGTCAGGGCAGGTGTGGAGCTAAGCAAGAAGGGCTTTGAGCTGGAGTCCAGAGCTCCAGGCCATGAATTGGAGCACAGAGTTGGTTTCACCCTGAGGCAAGGAGGACTTTTTGTTCCCTCAGCCCTTTGTACCTTGGTTCCTTCAGTCCTTGAGAGCCAAGGTGGGGGGAGATGCTGCAGCATAATTTCCCAGGCCCGAGGCCCCAGTTTGGTGAAAACAGCTCTTCCCCCTTAGCCTTAGCAGTTCCCAGTGCTCACGGCAGCTGGGGCCTGGGTCCACCGGCCTGATTCAGGATCTGGGCTGGGCACCAGCAGCATCCACTTCCCATTACTCCTCCATGCTATTTATTGTCCGCTTGGCTCTTGCTGTTGGATTAATACTCATGTTTTTGTGTTAATAGATACCATATCTTTGGGGGTCCCATGAAATCAGAGGGTCCAGATAGCATCTCTAAGCCCCTTTGAGAGAAGATGGGCTTCCTGGGCTCTGGTGGTGGTGGAAGAACATTGTTTGAAGTACACATTGTCCTGTCTCAGGATGTGTTCAAATTCTTTGGTACTTTCGCCTCCTAAAGCATTCTCTCACCCACCCACCCACACATGCATGCACAAAGAGTATGCCCTTAAGAAAGGAAATGTCTCTGGTTGTTTTTTTGTGTTCCCCCCCCCCCAAAAGAACAGACTAGGGCTGTTATTAGGTTACTTCCTGTGTAGTTATTATTATTAGATCAAAAATATTACTAAAACCTCTATAATAGCAAAAATGTTTATGTATCTAACTAGAGTCAAGTACTGACATGATCACATTAGGGCTTTGGGCTCTGTTCCTATTATAAGTAAACCTATGAAAATTGAAGACTTTTAATATCAATTGAAATTATGAAAAAAAAATGTCTTCAATTTTCAAAGAGTAATTTTAGCTTTCTTAAGATCGACCTAGTCTCCTAAGCAGAGATGGGTGGTGCTAAATACTGAGCTGGGATGTTTCATTTATTACACACCTTGTTTATATCATTATCATCAGCATTTCTAATTAAATAGGGAGAATGTTGTTCGCTCTGGCTTTATCTTTACCTCTGTCAGATTGACAGTTTATTTAACTGTAGGAACTACACTAGGATTCTTCTCAATTACTTTTGCTGGGTTTAGTTATTCTGCATCAGAGTGAATGGAATTATTTGTTCAGAGCTGCCTCATTTATAATGAAGAAATGCATTTTAACTTTTCATCTGTTCTTTCTTACCCCTTTTTGTTTCCTCTTCAGTTAAACTCCCAAAGAAGAAAAAAATGAGTGTGTTAGAAATCAATAGCCATAGCCCCATAGGGACAAGCTGTTATTACATTCTGGGTTTCATTAGGAAAAAAATTAAAAACATCTATACTTATTAAATTTTCCATTTTCACGAGTAATTCGGAGTGTTCATCATACACACCCACACACACTCAGGGAATAAATCAAAGATGAACACTAGCCTTAAAATAAGGTAAGATCTAGCCAATAATAGCAGTGCTATTCTTTTAGAGATTCTATCCATGGATGGTGCTACCAGAAATAGAAATGTCATTAAGCACAGTTAATATCTCTCTAAGAACAGAAAAAGTGCTAATGGATATATTTGTTTCGTGAGTATACCAAACTTTAAAAAAGAAATCAGTAGAAATCCATCATTTTTATGAAATCAAAATCCATCATTTTTATCTACTTTTTTAGTAAGAATAGAAATCCAAAGATACTGTACTTTGTATAAGAACTACTTTCTTCTTCTGTTATTCTAACACTAGAGGCCCGATGCATGAAATTCGTGCAAGGGGCTCGGCCCTCGCAGACCCGGCTTCGTCCAGAAAGTTGTCCGGAAGGATGTCCAGTCTAGTTAGCATATTATGCTTTTATTATTATAGATTACTCATAAACTGTATTCTCCTGCTGAATTGCAGTTCACTATTAAAAAATGAGAATGCAAAGACCCCCCCTTTGTTTTCTGGATGACAAGAAACATCGTATACAGCCTGAAATTCTCATTTGCAACCTTTTTAAAATTACTTTGTCTAATTAACAACTTTGACCAGATCTATCCCAGTTTCTGACAGTATTATCTTCAAGTAGAAAATCACTTTTGGGGGTTTCTTACAGGTCTTTTTTCTTAAAAAACAAACACATTTTAGTGATGCATAATTTTACAGATCCTTTAAAGGGCCCTTAATGTTGCCAAATAAAGACTGGTGGGTGTGCTTCTGTAAGGTCTATAGTTCATTCACTAGACACCCCTCAGATGACAAAGAAGATGAAAACTGACATTAGTTTTCCTGGAGTTTTGTGGGAATATGTGTGTTGTAGGGTTGGGCTTACAGAGGATAGAAGCATGATGCTGGTTTTAGAGGGCTTTTCAGAAGTCAGGAATATCTCCTAGCCTTCATGATGTTCGAATGAAGCAATGTTCAGTGACATGTCCTGGAAACATCACTTTCTGTGAAAAGTCCACCCTATTCACATATATTTGGATTTGAACATAGATTTGATGTGGCCATAGAGCAAGCAGTTTCTGGGATGAAAGGAGAACAAAGGAAAAAGAGACATGGATAGTAAACAGGCAGCCCTTTCCCTTCCTGTCCCCATGGCCGATATTAGTAACTGATTGTGGCACCATAGCCTCTGGGCCTTGTCAGCGCCTCACAGTTCTTTAACAGGTCTGGGCAGCCACCACCCAGATATTTGTGCCAGTAAGTTTATGTGCCCTGGATTGGGGCCATTGGCTATTCCTGTTGAAGCCTTTGTTCTGGGATCTGCGGAAGACTCCTGATGGAATGTATCTTTTCCGAAGGCACCTTCCTGAGTCGTTCTGGGATGGGGCGCTCTGAGAGGGGTTGCCCTGATACCTGGAGCTGCATCCAGCTTTGTGACGCTGGGGGTTTTGCTTCCCTGCACTGTGGGCAGGACTGTAGCAGTTGTGCATGGGATGTGACCTTGTAGTTCCTGCCCCTAAATTATACCACATTTGAATTTATTGATGATAGCCATTCTGACAGGTGTGAGATAATATCTCATTGTGAGGATGTGGAGAAAGGGGAACCCTCATGCACTGTTAGTGGAATTGCAGACTGGTGCAGCCACTATGGAAAACAGTATGGAGGGCTCTCAAAAAATTAAAAATGGAACTACCTTATGACCCAGTGATTCCACTTCTGGTATATATCTGAAGAAACCCAAAACACTAATTCAAAAGAATATACCCACCCTATGTTCATTGCAGTGTTGTTAACAATAGCCAAGCTATGGAAGCAACCCAAGTCAATAGACAAGTGGATAACAGTGGTGGTACATATATACTTAGCCATAAAAAGGGATAAAATCTTACCATTTGTGACCTCATGGATGAACCTAGAAGATATTATACTAAATAAATAAGTCGACAGAAAAAGACATATACCATATGATTTCACTTATATGTGGAATCTAAAGAACAAAATAAATGACCAAACAAAATTGAAACAGACTCATGGACAAAGAGAACAGACTGATGGTTGCCAGAGGGGCTGGGGGTTGGGAGGCTGAGTGAAAAAGGTAAAAGGATTAAGAGGTACAAATTGGCAGTTACAAAATAGTCGCTTGGATGTAAAGTACAGCAGAGAGAATATAGTCAATAAGTTGTAATAACTGTAATGGTGCCAGGTGGGTATGGGAAATATTGGGGGAACATTTTGTAAAGTATATGATTGTCTAACCACTATGCTGTACACCTGAAACTAATACAAAATAATATTGAATGTAAAAAAAAAGGAAAAATATCTTTTTGGAAATGTGCTACACATGATTACTTTGATGCTATAATTTTATCAAGATTATCAAATAAACAAGAACTATTTTTTATTTACAAAATATAAGTAAAATTGCAGAATGTTGGCTGAAAAAAAAAATTATGCCACATGCATGAGATCTTGAATATGAGCGTTTGCCAGGCCAGCAGGTACTTTAGTGCTGGGCCCTCAAAAATCACCTGGTCCGACCCGTCCGGTGTGGCTCAGTGGTTAAGTGTCAACCTATGAACCAGGAGGTCATGGTTTGATTCCCGGTCAGGTCATAAGCCCGGGCTCGATCCCCAGTAGGGAAGGTGCAGAAGGCAGCTGTTCAATGATTCTCTCATCATTGATGTTTCTATCTCTCCCTCTCCTTTCCTCTCTGAAATCAATTTTTTTAAAAATTATTTTTAAGAAATCACCTGGTCCAGAGATTTTAAAACTCAGGATGTTGCTAAGGGCCTGTCAGCGGCCATGGAAGCAGGCCCCCAGGGAGGTGTGGGGGGAACTGGGACAGCCTAAGAATGGGCATCCTTCTCTCAGGCCATGCACACTGTTGCCAGATCTTACAGGCTTTCACAAAACACCAGAAATTTGGACTTTTGAAATCTGAAATCTTCTGATTTTTAAGTGTTGACAACTCATTAAAAAATTATAAAAACCATAGATGAACAAAATATGTCTTATGGCAGAGGAAACTGTGATTTAGTTCCTTTTTACCAGAGGAGGACGCTTGTGTGGACTTGAGCATCCCAGCTACCTGGGTTCGCAGTGTGGTGCTTTTTCCAAGAACGCTCAAGGGTGTGTGTGTCTCAGGATGCGTGCCTTCGAAAAGCATGGACCTCTTGGTGTGTTTGGCGAGCAGGAGGTTTTATGCGCACTCTGAAACGCACACAGCTTCACTGAGGAGAAACAGGTCCCCACAGCGCTGCTCTTCAGCTTAAGGTCATGAGCCACTTAGACCCGTGTAGCCTTTCCATTTCTGCACAAAGAGCTAGGTCCACGCACTAATTGAACATTTGCCATCAAAACAGTCTTATTTCAAAAGGTTAAAGTGCCTCTGTGCCCGCAGATGCACTGTCTGGAAAAATGCATTTTAAACCTTCTGAGTACATGCCCTAGCCCCGTGGTTGGCAAACTGCGGCTCGAGAGCCACATGCGGCTCTTTGGCCCCTTGAGTGTGGCTCTTCCTAAGCCTTAGGAGTACCCTAATTAAGTTAATAACAATGTACCTACCTATATAGTTTAAGTTTAAAAAATTTGGCTCTCAAAAGAAATTTCAGTCGTTGTACTGTTGATATTTGGCTCTTTTGACTAATGAGTTTGCCGACCACTGCCCTAGCCTATTTGGCTCAATGGAAAGAGCGTGGGCCTGCAGACTAAAGGGTCCCAGGGTCAATTCTGGTCAAGGGCATGTACCTTGGTTGCAGGCTCAGTCCTCGGCCCTGGTCTGGGCACATGCAAAGGTAACCAATCGATGTTTTTTCTTCTCTCTCTCTCTCTCTCTCTCCCCCGCCCCCCCCCCCCCAAATTCCACTCTCTCCAAAAATCAATGGAAAAATATCATCAGGTGAGGATTAACAAAAAAACAAAACAAAACAAACCTTCTGTACAGGCCATTGAAATTTCATGCTACCCCAACCTCCAACTCCATCTTGTGTCTGATGGACCCAGACTTGCAAGTCTACCTGGAAGCTCATTTTAACTTCAGCTCTAAATGCTTAGCTGGATCTGATGTTAGAATTTGCTCCAGAATGTTGCTCATACTTCCAGTGGGTCCAACACTGCTTCAAAAGCAAGTTCTACTTAAGAATCTGTTGTAAGTGTGTCATCAAGCACCAAGAAACCTGTGATTTGCCTTTCTCCTTTTCTCTCAGGAAGCTGACAGCTGGGAAATTATAGAAGGGCTGAAAATAGGCCAAACCAATGTCCAGAGACCAGACAAACATGAAGGCTTTATGCTGAAGAAAAGAAAATGGCCTTTAAAAGGCTGGCACAAGGTAACATTTTCATCATATTCATCTTCAGCTCATCTTTGTAAATAGAGGATCTGATTTGGTGTTATTAGGTAGGAAGCCAAGAGTATGGCTGTATGTGCAAACGAATTCTCTAGGCCTTGTTTCAGCCATTTGGGCTGCATGCAACCTGTTGTACCTGTTTAAGTCTGAGATCTGTAATATCTGTCTGCAGGGGGAAAATTATTTTAAAAATATTTTAAGATAACTTATTTTTATATTTTAAATTCAGTTTGTACATATTATTATCTACTCTGGGTTTTTTTTTCCCACTTAAATTAATATGTTCTTACTACATATTCTTCTCAATGGAAGGTTTTAAAAAAAATTCATGCATATTTTCCACTGGATGAACTTATTGAACCAATTTTCCACGATTATGGAACCAATTCCCTTTTGCTGGATATGTACGCTATTTATGTCTAATTTTTTACTGTCATGATGTTGTGATGACCATCCAATGAATTTCTATTTACTTCATTGGGGTAACTACCTAGAATTATTGTTACCAGTGCAAATTAAAGGTGGAAATTCACTGACCTTGGAAGTTTGGTTATTACTCTTTAAACTATATGGTTTATTCTTCTCTTCCCGACCCCACATGCTTTTACCACCCTCCAGTTTTAATTACAGAGAAGATATTTCGCACTTCATTGATGCGGTGACCTGAGTAGCAAGACTTGTGTGATGCTGAGGAGGAACTTGTCCTCCGTTCTCAGTGTCAGCCCTTTGGTGGACCACCAGCATCTCAAATCACTGGAAGGACAGGCTCATCTACTTGCCACATCTGCCGATGGATCTCACCTCAGGGCAGACAGATTTATTGGCTGGTGGTAGCTGCCCATCGGCCCCAAGCAGGGAGGTTATGGATTATAAAATCCTTGAAGAAATATACTTTTTGCCCTTTAAGGGAAAGACTTGGCCTGGCTGGTGTGGCTCAGTGGTTGAGCATCGACCAGGAGGTCATGGTTCAATTCCCAGTCAGGGTACATATCTGGATTCTGGGCTCAATCCCCAGCAGGAGGCAGCTGATCAAAGATTCTTTCTCATCATTGATGTTTCTCTGCCTCTCTCCCTCTCCCCTCCTCTCTCTGAAATCAATAAAAGCATATTTTTTTAAAAAAGGAAGACTTAAAAAATTAACCAATGGGAATGTTCCTCAATCCTCTATCTCTGAGGGTGAAGTAAAAGCAGGCCAAAGAGGCTCCCACAACTATTCCTTCTCACTTGACAGTCTCCCCGGAACCCCCTAATATTCTCCCAATGCCAGGATTTCTCTCCACCCTGTTCTTCCTTGGATTTTGATCAGCTTTTTGCCTTTTGTTCTGACCTTACCACTTCACAGTTCCTCAAATCAGTGGCCCTGCTACTCTCATATAGGTTATCCCTGCTAAAATTCTTTAATAGATAGAAATGGAAAAATGGGGGGAGGGGTCAAATAAACCAATTTGAATTGAATTGCAAACTTATTTAGCACTCTCAGTTCGTGTTTCAGCAAAACTGGCTGTGGTTCAACTGCAGCTCTTTCTGGACCATGCCTTTTGAATGTTTTGTTACATAAATAGTGGGAGGTTCTCCCTTGCATAACCTTTTCTCCTGGTCTCTCGTGCCATCAGATATTTATTCAAGTATCAGCCCATTTGACTGCCCACGTTATGGGAATCGAGTAATCAAGTGTTTTTCAGCTGTAGAGATTCTTTCTTCCAGTGCTTACTTGTTGCCACCCCTAACCTGTAACAAAGGGGTCCCAGTGGCCTTCTGTGAGTTCCATGCAGGGTGTCCCTAGCCTGACTTCCTGCTACCTCAGCAGCTAAGAGTTCCTGAATCACATAAAAACTTCCCAGCAGAGTAATTTTCCAGCAACAGAAAGACTCCCTGCATCTGTAGAGACTAGAAGAGGGCACTGGACTCGTTGTTGGATTGGGTCCTGGGAGCTGTTTGTTCTTTTGTCAATTGCCCTTGGAAAGGAAATCAACAACAGAGAGTTCTTGAGTGTTTGTGGAGCAAAAGTGGCTGCATGCATTTGAATCGGATCAGGAGTATCTTGAAGGTGACGAAAATTGCCCAAAAGATTCCTTCTCCCCCCCACCCCCTCATATTTTAAACCCTTAATGTAGTTAAGAAATAATTATCTCTTTTACTAATAGTACACTGCAGGAATTTTGCAAATTAGAGATGCAAACATATTGCTAAGGCAACTTTCCAGATCACTCATTAATCATAGACCCAGTCCACCGGCTTCTGTGACAGACATGAGCATTTTCAGGAATTACCCATGATACCCAGGGAAATACAGGACTGAGAAATTCACAAGCTCCTCACAAAATCTCTGTGACCTAACTCAGGTTATTCTTATTTCTCACTTTCAAAAAAAAAATCCCAATATGATTCATTCAGAAAGTCTTAGCTGCAGATCCTGAGATTCACACTCCCCACCCAGCATAGCCACCCCTGTTAAGAAAAACCATGCTGAAAAGATTTCAGCTCCATTGCATTGTGTGTAAAAGAAACCAAGTAGGTTAACATTACACAACTCATATATTAAAATGATAAACACATTGTTTACTAAATGCCAAGCAACATTAACCCACACTTGTGAATGTCTTATATAATTTAAAGTACAATAACTGGGGGTTGTTTGGTTCTTGCAGCGTTTTTTTGTCCTGGATAATGGAATGTTAAAGTATTCAAAGGCACCACTTGATGTAAGTAGCACACAAGGCATGTGTCAGAGATTGATGTAGAATTTGCTTGAAGTGCGTACACACCACAGCTGTGCCAGCCTTGTGCCATAGTTACCAGCTTTGTTCATTTTTGTGCCTGTAATATTTAACAAGCTACCAGACTTCCATGCTGCATGGAAGGTGTGTTTTAGGCTTCAGCTCAAGCTAACATAAAATCTCAAACTGGTGCATGAAGATTTAATTTCACTATTGTGCTGTCTGTTGTTCCAAGCAAGCTTAAACCTAAAAGTAACACACTAATAAAAATTAACTTTTCTGTCTTGGAGAGAAAACCCAAATAGGCTTTTTTTCTGCATTTTAATAAACTATGCTTTATGTGCTGTTTGAGATTTAAAGCAACCTTTGTTCTTGTCGATGTCCTTTTAATACCTATCTTATGAACTTCATTTCTATTTCATATCAGACATTCTCTTATCTCGGGAATCCCAACTTACTAAAATTAATCCTATTTATTTTTCTTTACTGTAGAAAGTAGTTGTTTGCATGCAAAACTGGAAAATGCCCTCCTTATCATTGTGGTGTGGGGAAATAAGAGAGTTCCGTTTTGTTCTCATCTCTTCCATTGAATCGCTGTGTGTCCTTGGTCAGACGAGGGCAGCCAGAAGGAAGAGCTGGCTGCTCTGTGCTCTCTGGTCCCAGCTGCCCAGTTCCGTCCCAGCAGCTGTCTGCTAGCAGATTACTTGGGGATGTTCTGGGCTGTAGGTCAAAGATGGACCACAGTTATTTTAAGAACCATTAAAGATATATTTTTTGGGATATAAGTTATACAACTTAGAATTATAAAAAAGGGACATTATATGTTATGCCAGAAACAGGAGTAAGAGCTGGATATTCTTACTGAAATTGGTGTGGAGTCATGGCAACTTCAACTGTCCTCAGGTTAAGGACCTTAACCTCAGAATCCGAACCTTTTTCCCTTTCTAAAGAGAATTAAAGATGTCATTAAGCTCACTTCCGTGCAGAAACACATCATCTATCCTTCCAGCCTCTTTACTAGTGTTTTAAATATTTCAGATTCAAAAAGGGAAGGTCCACGGAAGCATCGATGTCGGACTCTCGGTCATGTCTATTAAAAAGAAAGCTCGGAGGATAGACCTGGACACAGAAGAGCACATCTATCATTTGAAGGTGAGGTTGCTTTTCAACAGTTTCTCTGCCATTATCCGAGGAAATCACTTGCCTATATCAGTGGTAAACAGAGTATCGGTTTCACCATAACCTTCTCCTCTTGTTCATTGTTTTAGGTGAAATCCCAGGACTGGTTTGATGCATGGGTCTCCAAACTGCGCCACCATCGCCTGTACCGGCAGAATGAGATTGTGAGGTCACCAAGAGATGCTAGTTTTCACATATTTCCTTCAACCTCCACAGCTGAATCCTCACCAGCTGCTAATGTTTCCGTCATAGATGGAAAGGTGTGTCTTAGAAATATAAAAGTCAGCCCAGAAATTGCTTGGAAAGTTATGTAGGCCCATTTGACCAACCCAAAAGAGATGATTTTCTTTGTAAAGTAGCTCTCAGAAGACAGTAGTGACATTTGGCATCAAAGTTAATAACGAGTATGGATCAGGTGGATATGTGGATCACCGAGAGAATTAACAGTTGCTTTTCCTTTTTACGAATGGACTACAACCTAATTTACTATAGCTTTTTAAGAATATTTGGAAGTGGGGCGAACATTTGATTAATTAGCACCTAGAAATTGATGTCTTCCTGGGTGGTAATAGGAAGACTACAAAGTTTTGAAAATGAAACTTGCTTTTTTGCCTTGAGATGTAATACATACATGACCCAGAGAGAGACGAGTAAATTTCCCCCTGAGGTTAATGCAAGTGGGCTAGAGAATTTGCCAACAATCTGAGCAGTAGCCCACTAAGTCAGGCAGTGTTAGGCATTTGACATATATTCATCTCTAATCTTTAATATAGCGAAAGCTCAGAGACAGAACAGAATTTTTCCAGGTGTTACATGGCCATTGAACAGCTGAGCCAGGATCTGAATCCTCATCTCTCAGTTTCCTTTCCGTTATTCTGGGTCCCAGATTGCGGAAGACTGAAGTTGTTCTTTGGACTGTAGTAAGAGTTCATTTTCTGTGTTGCTGAAAAACTAGAGGTGTTGCCTATTAAAAATCAAGGTTAAGACCACAGGCAGGGAGACAGCTGTTTGTGCCTTTGACTCGATAATTAAGTTTTCTGAACCAGAGCCACATGGCCCTGCCCAGGGGTGTTCCAGCTTCCCACTTGGCACCTGATATTGAGAACAGGGACATCTGTAAATAACTGGCTGCCACAAGGAGCTGGATTTGAGAATGTTTCAGTGAAAATCCCCCTTTCTCTATTTTCTCATATAAGGGTGTATATAGTACATATATCTGAGTTTTCTTTGCAAAGCATTGAAAAACATCATGGAGTAACTGTAAGACTAATCAAATCAGAGTAAATAAAACACTTCTGTGTTCAGTTTTTATTATCTCAATGGAAATTACTCAAGTATTTCGTAGGCTCTGAAACCTTTTGGGTTGTAGCCTTGGCAAGGCTATTTAATCAGTCCTAGGAAGGAGATGTTGGGCGAACCAGGAGATCAGAGGGTTAGGAAACAGGGCACTTACTGAATGACCCAACACAAGATGCTCAACATAACCCCCAAGTTTCTCTGAGCCTCCTGCCTTCCTCCTGCCTTCTCCCCACAGGATAGAATGAATCCCAGAGTTAGTCCAAATTAAACAAGAAATGTATCCCTGCTGGATATTTTTAAAATATAAATGTTTAATCCTTTGATGGTTCCAGCTTCTGCCTGCATCTTTGGCACAGAGTGTTGATAAAAGATACATTATTTTCATCCCTTTTGTTATTTATTAAATCACTTGGGTGATATCCAAGAACAGAGAGCTGAAACTAAATCCTCCCCACTGTTTGCCTTGGAATAAGAAAGCTCTTTAGCTCTGGTTTTCATAGGAGATCTATTGCCCTAGTTATGAATGACATTCTCTTAGATCTAACTCAGTGAAAAATTCCCAATACATTTATCAAAATGCAATAAAGTCTGAGGAGAGCTCTTAACACTGCTTGCATTCTGAGTATCAAGTCATGAGACTTCTGAATGTTAATTGCTTTGTGGCCCAGTGTGGGTAACAAATAAGTTTGTGTTGGCTATGTATGAGCATCCTTCACTTCAGAATAAATTAGAAGAGACACAGCCACTTGTAATCGAAAATTAAAAAGCAAAATTAAATATGGAGTTTTAAAGTTGTTTCAGCTTTTGGAAAAATAACTTTCTGCTTTTTTTCCCACTGAACATTTACTGTACTCACTTTAGTATCTACATAGTTCATACAACTTTATTTCCCATAAAATACCTTCCATGGGAAGTATATCAGCTTTAAGTAATAAACTTGGCAAGACTACCTTTTTATATACTAGACTTTTCAGTATGCATTCAAAGCATTTGCAAGGTTACTTGCTGATGGATAATGTTCGGTATTTAGGAATCACAGGTGACTACCTCGACCTTGAGCTGATCATGAGCACACAGAGAGCTTTTGTAAGGGAAAAGGCCTTCCATCATGAGTTGAGTCTGCAGTGAGGACACTGTATCCAATATGACTGATGGAGTAATTTAACATTATTGGGAATTTGAGTTGGCAGGTTCCTGAGAGTATGAGATGTAACCTACTTGAGTGTTGTCCCATTCAGTGTACTGGCATAACAGAGATAGCAATTGATGAAAGTGTTGCTAGTGTTTATGAATTTTGGCTTCACTGAGCATGTACCACATTTAACCAAGAGGCTTTCTCCATATTTTGATTGTGCCCTTTCTTCCTTTCTTTGTAAATGGTCTTTTGAGAGTACTTGTATTTTTTTAAATCACTTAAATGTACTGTTTCTGCTTAACTTTATTTTTTGTTGTTGTTTATTTTAGGTGCAACCAAACAGCTGTTCATGGCAGTCCCCCTTGCCATGCAGCAACAGCCTCCCTGTCACCTGCACCACCGGCCAGAGTAAAGTGGCAGCCTGGTTACAGGACTCGGAAGAAATGGACAGGTGTGCAGAAGGTTAGTTCTTACCCAGTGTGGGCTGTCAGCATAAGCCAAGCAACAGAAACAAAGGAGGTGAATCGTGGGTGCTGCACCTTTCACTTCCTCCACCTCCCTGATGCCTCAACTTTTTTCTTTTCTTTTCTTATTTTTATACACCAGGTCCTTCTTCCCATGACTTGGGCTTCTTACCTGTCAGTTCTGCACCCTCACAAGTACTGAACCTGGTTTCATCCTTACCCTGACCTCCACCCTCTTCAGCCTTCTCACCTCATCTCATTACCATTTCCCTTCTGCCTTCTTTAGCCTCCCAGTCCCTGACCCCTGGGGCAACCATGGGAGAAGTGCTGCCCCAGGAGTACCCTCCACCCTCACTCCTTGACTCTCTGCCCCATCACTCCATCACACCTGTGCATTGCCTTGCTTGCAATAAATAGCTAAATTATATTGTATCTTATATCTACAGTTACCTGTTAGAGGTGTTCCACTGTGGATCAGTTATGAAATACTCTGAACTAATACGTGATTCCCTCACTCTGCCATCTCTGAACCTCTTAGTCTCCAGAAACCTTCTCCATCTGTAGGGTAATCACAATTATTAAGAAATATGAATATAATATTAACTGGATAGAAGACTCCACAGATAGACAATGTTAGATGATCACCTCACCAGCACCTTGCTTATGATGTAATTTTGTTTTTTAAAAGGCAAGTTGAAGTGTAGGTTCCTTTTAGCCATTTTTTTTTCCCGTCTTCCCTCTCACCCCTTCCTTCCTTCTTTGCACTGCATTTCTCCCTCATTTTTCCCCTTTTATCTTCTGGCTCCTACCCTTCAGAGCCACTTTCCCTTGTTTTCTATAAAGGGAAGGAGTTGGGGCATACACAGGTGCTGCCTCCCCTGAAAGGGGGGAAGGGGCGGGAGCAGTGGAAGGGCACTGGCCTTTCCATTATCCGCTTCCTCCCACCTTCATTGGGTGCTTCCCTCTCTGAAGAAATGTAAGGCCATTGATAGCCAAGAGTTCCCTGGAGGGACAATAGCAGCACTTGAACAGCCAACCTGGGCTCCATCCTGAGGCAGATGCTGCTAAAAGGAGGGACTAAGGCAGGGGTGGGCAAACTTTTTGACTCGAGGGCCACAATGGGTCCTTAAACTGGACCGGAGGGCCGGAACAAAAGCATGGATGGAGTGTTTGTGTGAACTAATATAAATTCAATCCATGAACTGTGCAGAGATTCTCAGTCCTCTATGAAGAGTCTTAGTATTTACTCTCTATTTTATTTTATAGTGACCAAAAAAAAAACAATCTGCCAAAAATGTCAAAAACCTTTACAACTACCTTTGTCATTTGACCCAGCTAATCTTTAGCCATATTTAACAGTAATATTTTGTTGCCTATACCAAATTTGTAATAATTCAGATCTTTGAGATTTAATGAGAAACAAAGATAAGTGAAATTTTCACCAACTGCCACAAAAATAAGGACGATCACTCGATAATTTTACAGATTTATACACATGCCTCTTCATAAACAGTACACATGCAGAAGTCATCACATAACTGGGAGCCATGTTCATAATATCACCAATTGAGTAAATAATACTAGTAACTCAATATCTTTGACTATTGAATTTCACATACTAAAGGTCATTTTTTTGTGTGATACTTCAATGTGCAGATCTTTAAACATTCATTTTTTAAAATATATCAAAAAATTAAAAGTTATTTCTTCATTCTAAGCCATTCAAACAGAATGGGCTTCATGCCCAGGTGATGCTGCTCCTGCTGGGCCCGGCAACACACTCTGAGAATCTTTAGTTTTGTTGAGTGTAACATCTCCACTAGATTTTAAAGAAGTCATGCATTGCCACACTGTTGTGAGCTAAATTAAAGATAAATACATTCACCTGACTCTGTGTTCCATCTTATTTTTCTGAACTTGACTTTGCCTCCATCCATATTCCAAGTAGTCACCTTGTAAACTATTTGAGGAACAGGTAGACAGGTCCTTTTTTAAAAAAAATTATCTTTATTGTGGAAAGTATTACAGATGTCCCCCTCTTTTTCCCCGCGTTGGCCCTCCTGGTAGACAGGTTCTTAACAGTAAAACCATACAACTGCTGAAGTTCCCTGGAGTGTGTTTTTGTGAGACAAGGGCACCTGAGCAGGAAAGGGAGCATACACAATTTGTCTGGCTCTTTACAATTTAATGGCTCTCTACACTAATAGCTGCTAATTTGCAGGAGTGCACTTTGAAGTCATCTAATGATAATCAGTGGTTTTATGGTTCTAAACCAGAGAAGAGTCTGTGTGGGCGTTTTTTCTCTTTCATTTGCCAGTATCACCATTATATATAAACACGGGTCTGCCTAATCATATTTGCCACTGTTTGGATAGATTTATTACCACCACCACCACTCCCTGCCCAGTGCTAACATACTTTTATTTCTGGTTTTTGTTAGACCTTGCACACTGCCAGTCAAACCTTGTGGAACTTAGCAAACTCCTGCAAAATTTGGAAATACTTCAGAGAACTCAGTCAGCACCCAACTTTACTGACATGCAGGTAAACATATTACTGCTGGTAAAAGGACCTTAAGATATTAGCTCGGAATTTTTACTAGATTGTTCCATGAATGTTTAAGGTAACATTAAAGGGAACTAACTACAATGTAGATTAGTTTCTATTCTGGAATCATTCTTAGTATTTTGGAATCTTGGTGCCATTGTGGTTAGATGTCTAATTTGAAATGTCTTACATTTCAATACAAACTAGAAAAAATAAAAATCTGAATCATTCTTCTATATTTGTGTTACATTAAAAATGATAGCTTTGAAGGTATAACTTAGATGCTCTGCTCTCAGAATTATTACCATCTTTTCACGTAGAAAAAAATGCTACAGATCTCTAATCCTGCTTTCATTTTGGATAGCAGAAAAATATATTTAAGTTCTCATCTTTGCTTTTGAATGCCCACTGTGCATCAGATAATGCCTTCTCCTGGCTGGTTGCTTTAGGTGTCTAACAGTGAGTCTTGACTAACTTGCTCTGCTCTCTTTGTCTAGGCCTGTTTTGTATATGTGTGAACTTAACATTACTTTGTTGCTTTTAACTGTTTGTGTAATGTAGGCTAACTGTGTAGATATTTCAAAGAAAGACAAGCGGGTCACAAGAAGATGGAGAACAAAAAGTGTCAGCAAAGATACAAAAATACAACTGCAGGTACAGACTTTACTTTTCCTCCATTCATATTTTTGCATACTTTTATAGTCTTTACATATCAGTTCATGGAAATTAAAAGGTTTACAGCAGCTTAACTGTTTTAAATCCAGTGCTTTTCAGACTGTTATATTATCCAAAATAGAGGTAAATCTATCCTTTGTACTCTGATCTAAGTAAAAAGAATTTAAAATAAAGATAAAAATTATTTAATATGGATGTAAAGTGGCATTTTTATTCTGTTATGGCCTTAGAACCATTACAATATATCTTTTAAAAAGTCATTTTAAAAATCTCAACTGACTATTTAGTGGGCTGTAATAAACACTCATTTTTATATAATAGACCTTAAAAGAGCCAAATTTGTACCTATCAATAAAAGAGTGAGAGCTGCAATAGATTGGAAATCAATAAACCTGGGATCTAGCCTGATTACTGTGATTTCCTAGCAATATAATTTTATGCATTTCTCTGAAATTTTCTGGGCTTCTATTTGTTCCTGGGTAAAGTAAAGGAATTAATGTGATGATTTCTGAATTCCCTTTCAACTCTAAAGTTTCATAATTCTATAAAACAGATATTATTTGGCCATCATCAATCACATTTAAAATCTGAACTGGAGTCTTAATTGTTCATAATAAACTTAATTTAAATTTATTTTCAATGTTATTTATTTAATATGAATAATTTTTTTTATATATATTTTTTTATTGCTTAAATTATTACAAAGAGTATTACATGTTTCTCCTTTTTTTCCCCCGCCCTTGACAATAATAATTTTAAAATAAGATCCTATTTTGTTATTTTATTGCAATGATACTAAATATGGTAAATGCCTAAAACCTCTTATGCCATAAATCATATCATTTTTAGATCTATAAACTAGAATTTCTAATACTCTGATCCTAGCTGTATATTATAAAGGACTCTTGCCTGGCACAATCAAAATTCAACTTATGACTTTGCTTTGCTTTCTATTGCTCTATAAATCAATTTATATTCTAATACAAAGGTAAAGGGAACTGTTTTGCAGAATTCGTCAATGTCTTCTGAATAAATAACTAATTCTTCTTTAATTCTGACTTTATTAATAACATTTTTGTGCCATAATTCTGAATGTGTAAATAACAAACTCTTTGTTGCTTTGCTTGCTAATCTGATGTTTTTGAAAATAAGTTTTCATAAGCACTAAAAATTTATGGTTTATTTAGAATGTCCACATTCTCTGAACACAATTTCTTGTGTTCCTTTGTTCAGTATGTTTTCCCCTCTATTCAGAAAATTAGTACTGTAGAGACAAATGTGCCAAATGACTTCACAAGAAAATTACCTAAAATTGCTTTTGGCAGTTCCATTTGTTTTGAGCATATGATTGTCTAGTTTTGTGGCTGGTTGTTTTTTTGTTTGTTTGTTTGTTGTTTTTTTAAATCCTGGTGTCTATGGTTATTATAACCAGGTAAAGGAACCATTATAAAAATTATTGATTATAATTAGCAATTATTTTAATCTTGTTTTTATAAGGTTTGCCATTGAACAGGTTTCCATTCACAGCTGTTGTCTTGATTGGTTCTCAGTGAGTCTGAGTGCAGTGCCCCTAGCCACCCTGTGTGGCCACGAGGCCACCATAGTCCCCATATTGCTCAGTTTTCCTGAAAGAAATGGGATGAACTCTGAATACCCACCGTTACAGGCTGTGCTTTTCAATGTGCAGGAAGTTTATGAAGATTTTTTTAAGTCATTAGAAGAAATTATTCAAAAAAGCAGGCAAATATGCTTCATTCATACCCCTGCAACATTTTGGCGGGGGGGAGGGGGGGGGGCTTTTTTGTTTTTAAGTTTTTATTTATGCTGTTTTGCTTTGCTTTTGTTTTACCAAAAGTATAACAAAATGGCCCTGTGATTCTGGATTAATTATTTTTGAGGGAAATTGGAATCAGCTCATCCCCCCACTCAAAGAAAACTTGAAACTTACAAAAGTAGATTTAATTGTATCTCCAACTGGAAATAAACAGACTTGGGGTTAGCAGTAAGCTATTAATCATTCCCAGAGAAACCCTACTTCCACATGGGCTGACTGGTAAAACAAAAGGTGTGGTGGGGGAAGGCTGCAGAATTTGGTACCATCTCTGGACCTTTTCTGCTCACTCAAACCAACAGGCCTTCCAGGATCCCTTAGGCTGGGGAAACCATAAAATCAACCAGGAGTGACTATGATCAATATAAATGCCATTACTCATCAGCATTTTACCTATACAAAGACATAACATTTATTTTTACTGTCGTGGGTTACCACCTCCTCCCACTCTAATATACAGGATTTCCCTCCTGTTTTAAGTGTTTCTTGACCATGGGAATTCCATCTGATGGTGCCACGTACTTGTTTGAGCCCATAATCATCTCACTCCTTGAACCACTCACTCAGATAGTCACTGTTGCAGCCAACTTGAGAGGCTTTGTGAGTGGCTCATTTTCCATCCCCTGTTTGTAACGTTTAGAACACCAGCCATTTGTGAATGAACCTAGACTGTTGGTGGTAGCGGTTATTGTTATTGCTATTGTTGTTATTGGTGCTTTCACTGAATTTGCATTCAGCATTCTGTAGCAGTTTTCATTTTGAAATAATTATAAAACAGATCATTTGAAAAATGGACCCCAGGAGAGTAAAAATGAACATGTTATACTGGGTGTTTAATTGCTTATTCTTACATAGGTTGTTAGATTGTGCTATTGATTTGAATGTGAAGGTTATGACCGTATTTCCACGAGAAGCCATTGGGAAGCTAGCCTCAGGAATCCATTGTGTAACTCACTGTGGAGATTACCTTTTAGAAAAAGGACTTCCTGTCTCCCAAACTTCTAGTTTTCTGGTTCTAATAAAAATTCCAATATCATCCTTGTACAGTAACAGTTGGACTGTGTTTTAACTGCAAGAACAGAATGATTTTTAAAGGGTTGCTGTAAAAGAGAGAGCTGCCAGTTTCCTGTGTTGCTAATAGCATGAATTACATACTAGATCCCTAGGTGTTGGAGAGGAGGAATAATAGGAGGTATGAGTAGGAGATAAATGACTGGATGTCGTTCATGTGTAGCCATCTTAGACCTCACAGATGCTCAGATTACACTGTAGGCTCAAAATAAGTTCTTTTTTACTACATTAAACATACAGGGATTTTGTACAGAAAATTTTTTGGTGGAAAACAAATGACATATGTACATATCATATATGTGCGCAGATTTAAGAACTTGGAAGAGAAATGTGATTGTAGTTTGGCAACTATAAAGAGAATTGGAGATAAAGGGATTTAAAATATTTTTCTATTGTTAATGACTAAAGCAGTCTTGCTCTTTTTCTCTATCTGGGCTGTTTGGTGGCTCTTAAGTGCATTTCAGTTAACTGGCATCAAAAATATTGCTCAAAGCCCTGAAGAGCCAGGATCTGGCCAATGGAGGCAGAGTTGAGTGGTTAGAAGGAAATGTCACTATTCCTTAATCCCGCCCAAGAAGAGAAAGAAAGCTCAGGGATTCTTCCACCAGTTTATGCACAGGTGCACATCACTGAATGAAACCTATGCTTTCAGGTTTTCATGGCTGATTTTTGTAGGCATTGTCCCCACACACTGAGAAAACTGAAGATTTTTTTTCTTATGCTATGGGGATCCGCTTGGAAAATTCTTCAACCTGAAAATCCCAACGCCATCCCTAATGTGGAATTTCAGAGAGCTTCATAGGAAGGGTTTACATGGGGAGTTGAAGATTTCTGCTATCCCCGCCCCTGACTTTTTCCTCCCATCAGGAAACAAAAACATTCTGCCTGGCCAACAGAAGCTCCCATGAGAACCTGTTCATTTTAATTTTTGCACATTATTTTTTTAATTACTTTTTCCTGAACTTTTTTTTTTTTGCTTCCATTTAGTGAATGCCTTTTGACTTCATATAACATGACGTTGCATGAATAAAACAGTGTGCAAATGTATTTTTACCTTGAAAGCACAAGCTATTTGTCAGTTTATGCCTTTCCATCTCTTTTTGGGGTGGGGGCGATATTAGCTAATAGACTTATGTGTTTGGTTATTCTGTGATGAGAAGGATGAACTTTTCTCACAGCCTGAATGCCCCTTAGAGCTCTTTTTAATGCTAAGATTTAGGAAAAGTCGACTTCAGTTAAAAACTCTCCCTCGCCCGTGTCTGATTATCTCCCGTCCTCCCACACCCTGCCCTCTCTCTGCCTCATCCCGTGTTTTTTCCTCCCTCCTCTTCTCTCATTCACTGTCAGGAAGGGCCATCTGTGAAGAGCCAGTTCGGCTCAACCCGGCGCCGGCAGAGGCTAGCAGCAGCCGTGGCTACAACAGTGAGTGGATTTCAATCTCAAGTGGACATTTAATAACATTGAGAAACTGTGTGCGTGTGCCACCTCCCCTGTCCTAATGTTGCCACTTGTGTGTGGCAGCATCAACTGTGGCTCATTCCTGCGTTGGTATAGCTTTCGCATGCTCTCTGGGTGCCTTTGCATGGCAGGAGTGGACGCAGACATTGGTGTGTGAGTTGGTAAACTATTCCACAATCCAGTTCTCTATTTCTGCTGTCCATGTAAGAAATAATTTCAGGTCAAGGTTGCAAAACTTGTGGTGTGGGATTTCCTTAAACAATATTGTTTGTTTGTGTGTTTGTTTGCCATACTGACATTGGAACCTTCGCTGAGTTCTGTTTTTCTCAGAAAAGTCATGTTACTACAGACATAAATTGTGCTTTTTTGGGTAGCAATGTGACTATTTGAACAGGATGTGAGACTATAGACATGAGAGGGCAAGAAAAGGTGAATTTTTATGTCATCTCCAAATGGCTACACGAGTTATACTTAGCAAGGGAAAATTGTTTATAAGCTGAAAATCAGAAAATATAATAAAAGCAGAATAACCACAAAGTTAGATGATGTTTAATCCATATGTAGAGGTTGGTTTGGCTTTTCTTTTTTAAATGGAAGGATATTTGGAGGACAGAGGAAGTACTGAGGCAGATAAGGCTAATAACAAATTTAAAAAGGAAAAGTGTGCAGAATAGTCAACTGTCCATATGAAGCATAAAGTAGAACTTGCAAATACAAGAACCCTTTGCTGGATAAAAGTAAATCATAATATTTGTTTAAGCATGACATCCTATCCACTTTTTCAATAGAGTACAAGTTCATAACAATTATGTATGTTAGTTTTTTGGCTATTAGATAGTGTCTTAAGTTAATAATAGTTTTACTCTTGCTAATGGTGGAGTATATTTTAAGATTAGAATTTCTGATAAATATGGAAAGGTTTTTGTTGTATTAATAGGAGAATGGGTACTGGTGCAAAGATTGGTTTTCTACTTTATGATTGGCAACTGACTCTTGCATTTTATTGAGGTACGTAGCTGGATTGTTCGAGAAACAGAATTGCTTTGATTATGAAATGAGCCAGTGACTTGGAATTTATTAGGGGACTGACTCTTAAACTCACATTTTTTGAATTTTAGAACAAACAAATTATTGAAATCAGTTTCATGTTAATGTATATCTTATGCATATACTCAAATGCAGATGAATAAAGTACATGTCACCTACATGGTAAAGAGATGTATAATCAGTTAAATAATTCTTAAATGTAATCTTTCATTTATAAATAAAGAAATCAGGTGATTATTAGGGAACAGGATCTCAGCATAGAAAGGAAAATACTAATGTTTCCTTAAATAATGTACTTCTAAGATGGCATGTAGGAAAGTGAATGTTTCCACTGTGTTCATTTTTTAATGGCAGATACATATAGTGAATATAATAAAGCTGGAAATAGAACCTATTTGAATAGAATGGGTTTATATTTTTTTAAAGTTGAGAATAGAAGAGAAAAGGCTTTTAAAAGATAAAAGTATTCATGCATACCTCTCAGGGTAGCGGTGACCGTAGAAGTTAAGAATAACCTAGATACATCTAATGAGAAAAGTTACTGGCAACATTTAGCAATGAATTCAGGAATAGCTTGGGGAGAAGGGAGTTATTCTAAACCCTCTGAAATTTATAACTTCATGCACACCCAAGCATAGCAACATCTAGCAGGACCCTCAGCGGGCCCCCTTGGCCCCTCACCCATAACTCAGTGACCTGACACTGGTGACTCACCCTATTTCTTTTATTACAGTGGCTCTCTTTCCTCTTCCCAGCACTAACGTTATCCCACATATTTTGAGCCCATCCTAACCTGCCAGTACCTTTTACTTATAATTCTTCCAAATGACTACTGGTCACTCGTTGTTCTTGCCCACTTGGGTGTCTGGGGCAGCTGAGATTGGCTGCCAATGAAAAGTGCACCCAAAGAGATGTTTCAGAGATTTATTCTTGTTCCCTAGCACTAACACCCAAATGGTCCACTTGCAACATCAGCCAGACCCAACAGAATAGGCGTGGAAAAGGAGAAACACTGGCCCCTCTGCATGGATAGACTCTGAGAGTCCCAGGCAGTCAGCACTCCCCATGGGGTCCCTGTACACACAATGCAGAATAACAGCAGCAGACCTTTCTACTGGCTCTGTGAGTCATCTGCACTTAGACCTGCTGTTGTGTTTTCTCTTATTTATACATATTTGTCATTGCTAAATTTCAGTGCCAGTAGCTCCCTGTCAATCCATTTGTCTTTTAATTTCTTCACGGACGTGTGTTAAAAGCATCTCCTAACATCTCCATTCCAAGCTGTGGTCATTGGTACCAGAACATTCCAGGATCAGGCTTCCTCCCTGTCACAGGGTTTCAAGGAAAGCCCTATATCTCTTTCCTGAGCAGGCTGCAAAGGCCACATTCAGTGCTGAGGGTTCTGGGTACAAACATTGAGAGCTGTAGACAGCTCCCATTCCAGCCATCACTGACAGAGAACCTAGTTGCCACTTGAATTTTGTAATTCCATAATACCTAGATGGATGAGTAAAATACTAAGTCCCCAGACTGAAGAGGTACTCAATTAGAGTTAGATTAATACATTCCACTTTGTATTCTCAACTTCGTTTCATGAATTCTGTCAGGTGGCTCATTCCATATACTTCTTTTAACAACAACAAAGAAGATATCAATATAAACATTTTCAGTAGGAAACATATAAAAATTAGTTTTCATTATCCCAGGGGCCTGAATGCAGTTGGAATGCAGCATTCCAGATGTCTTTCCCTGGGAGTTATATACAAACCCACTTTGACTGGTTTAATTGCCTATTTAAACTTCCACTATGTTCAACATATAAATTTGTAGTTTAGGTTTTTCTTCTGAGAATCTGATTCCAAATTTTAGTAGAGAGGCTGTGATCTCAGGGACAAGCTGGGTCCTTACTGTGCTCCCTGGGCCCCCACTGTACCATGTCTCCCATCGAAGCCACTCACCAGCTCTCACAGCCACCTCCCTACCCACCTCTCTCCAATGCCAGGGATGACACCCCTCTCCAATGCCAGGCCAGTCCTTGGAGTGTTGAGGACACCGAGTGTAGATAAAACCCCTTTCCTTAATCATCAACGCATTCCATTCCCCATCACCAAACACCCACATTCCTGTTTCTCAGTGCTCTTCTAGTTCTTTGAAACTTTCTGACTTACCCATTTCCTCAAGGTACAGGCTCTCCCCAGGACCTCCTGATCTCCACTACCCTTCCCATGGATTTTCTTTGTCCCTCCTAGAGGGCTATGGACTGACTAGTCTTTCTAGATTTAGCATCACTACAGTGAAGGTCAGAAATTTCCTTTATCTTTAAATACTCATCCATATAAACCCCATTCCTTTATAAGCATCCCCAAAGGACTTCAGTTATTGTTCTCACAAGTGACCTGGACAGGATTCCAGCAAAATATGAAGCCTAAGGACTCCATTTTTTCAAATAGCTTCTCTGCCATTGTGTGTATGCCCGTGCGTGCTTGCGTCTCTTCTGTGGCCAGTCAGAAACTGAGCTTGATGAGATGAAGGAGCTGTGCACATCTCCCAGCCCAGTGCAGCCAAGGTCCCCATGGAGGACGAGATAGTTACTTTGATAAATCCAGATACCAAATGATTCAGATAATACGTTCACATGGTTAGGGTAGCTGAATTTAGGGGGAAAGCTTCATGCTCACTTCCTTTCTCAGGAAGCCTTGGTATCTTTTGAGATATATAACTTCCTACCAAGGCAAAGTTACATCCAGAGGACCCTCTGTCCAGTCTCAACTGCCCTTACCCAGATCCACAAACTACAGGTTGGTCAGATTTTTTGGTTCTCTCCAACTCCTTTGTCTGGCCTCTGTATCCGCCATGCACGTGCACTAGTTTGTGTTCATTCTCTCTTTTTTTCTGTCAGGAAGTTTAAAGCAAATATTAAAAAATGGGGGGAAAGGACGAGGTTCTGAGATACATAAACACCAGACAAGATATTGGTTTCTTCCTCCCACAGCATATTTTCCGTTAGATAGAGGATATGAGTAATGCTATCATTTATATAAAATTTAGCTTGCAAAGGAGTCTAAGAGTCTGGTTCTTAAAGATAATTGAATGAACATCTGTGCAATAAGAGCTAGGGGAGGTTACTAGTCTTATTTACAAGAGGAATTGGTATTTTCCAAGAATGTTTGGCTGACAGCATTTGTAATGGTCAGGTAGAATGTTCTAGAAGGAGAGGGCAAGGTGCTTTGCCTTCACCCATCACAAATCTAGTCCAGATCCAGCCTGGACAGGGAAGTATCTCTAGCCATTTGGAAAAATCTATAGTAATATGACTTTTTTTACTTAATGCTTTTCCATATTGGCCAGTTAATAAGCCATGCTCATACATGTAACAGCATTGTGTTAAGATACAAAGGTAAACTACAGTAATTTATGCAATATATATGTCATTTACAAACATTTTGATAAATCAATTTCAAACTTAATTGTGAGTCTCTCTAAGCCATTATATTTACTACTAAACTTATTTATGTTTTATCTAATGGCTATGGGACAAGTAAATTTTCCTGTATGTGCACCTCTTGAATTTTTACCTGTTGGGTGAGCTCAGAAAGCCGTGAGCATAAAAAGTCCTCTGCCACGAGTACCCAGACCTTGTAGGACAAGGACAGCCAAGTCACAGTTTAGCATTTTCTGCCATTGGTTTTTTAGATACAGCTGTGGGTTCAGAGCTGAAACTTATCTGGAATTGTGCCTTTTCTTGCTGTCATTCTGAAGTCACCTCACCCTGTACCAGTGAAAAGCCAGTGAGTCAGTCGCAGTCCTAAATCCACTATGGGAAATGAGACTTCCTCCCACCCCCACCACCTGCGAAGTAAATGAGTTCCGAGTGTCTCCGTGTGTGTCACCAGAGAGGAATCTGTTATTTGGAAGACGGGAAGAGATCTTTTCTGTGTGTGAGAATGCACAGTGCACTGTTGCTCATTAATGATTCATATCTTCCCCTTTCAGGTTCCTTTCAGTGCCACCATGTCACCGGTTCGCTTGCACTCCTCCAACCCCAACCTTTGTGCAGACATTGAATTTCAGACTCCCCCTAGCCACCTCAGTGACCCTCTGGAAAGTTCAACAGATTATACAAAACTTCAAGAAGAATTCTGTCTAATTGCACAGAAAGGTAACACCAACTCTAACGTGCCCTTTCGAGAAGTACTCTTCTTTGACGAGAGGTTGCCATTTACTCCTTTATCCTTGTCTAGGTGGTCATGGGGAAAGATGAAATGGTTTATATACTGGTTGGAGTTCTATATACAGAATGCAGTAGGATACAACGCCTACATCTTGGGACAACACAAATCATAGGTTTACTGTTTTGACTGAGTAAAGAAAGTGTCATTGGTGGTGGGGCAGCGAGGAAGGAAGAAAGACAAAAAGAGTTATCCTGGACAGGCCAGGTTATAAATTATTCTTGAAAGTGTGTGTTAAATGGAACATCTCAGCCAATTCTCAAGAACCAGGTGGTGCAGGAAACCAAAGGGAGCACATGGAGGGCACCTCTGGGAATGCTTTTGTTTTAACTATATTTTTATTGATTTCAGAGAGGAAAGGAGAGGGAGAGAGGAGAGATAGAAACATTGATGAAAGAGAGACATGAATCGGCTGCTTCCTGCTTGCCCCATGATGGGGATGGAGCCCGCAGCCCAGGCATGTGCCCTGACTGGGAATTGCTTGGTTGATAGGTTGATGCTCAACCACTGAGCCAGGCCAGGCAGGTGTCCTAGGGAGGTGTCTTATCAGGCTGGGAATGTTGAAGTCAACAAAAATTTGTATTCTCAAACCATCAGCACAGATATACCATCAGCTATTTCTTTAATTCTATTATCTTACAACAACTAAGCTAGATCATCTTCCCCCTTTTTTTTCTATAGGTTTCTCAGTTGGAATGCCAACCCTCTTTCACCTGCTCTTTTACTCCTAGTACACCTTTATTACATTTCTTAGCTGGATGCTAATTATGTCACTAGACTAGAGTAATATTATTTTGCTTATAAAATAGCATTGATTACAGTCAGTAGAGCCAATAACTTTTACTCATATTGGGAGAGGGAGTGTAGGAGCAGGTAGAATGAGACAAGTGTGAGTAGCTGCTTAAGGGAGATGAGTACATTTGAAGGTAGTCCCAGGAAAGCTTTGTGAATTTAGTTGCAATCCTGAGGCTTTCAGGAAATCCAAGTTTCAACAGAATTTTAAAGCCTTTTGAAACAACATATTTTCTTTTCAACTGTGCTAGGAAAAAGAAAGGGCTTCTCTATGACTGTTGAGTGAACCCTTTAGAAAGAATTATGGATTTTGAAATGACTGAGTCTGCTTTTACAGCTGCCAGTGGGATTGATGTGTTCCAGCTATCAAGTTATTACCTTTAAATTGATGATGGAGAGAATGTAGCAATAAATCAATAGGTTGTGAGTCCCTTGTTATCTCACCATTTTTCCTCTTTAATATGGGCCAGTCTTTATGCTAAAATTTTCCACTTCTAAAAAATAACCTTTCTCAAATAAGGAAATTCCTCTTTTTAGTAGATCTTGAATATTATAGCAATTCTGTTATGGTAATGATGAGAGATGTAAATTCAACCTTTTGTAATTTAAAATTAAAGACTGCCTCAGATTACACCAATGTATGTTGTTAGGTATGCAGGAGTTGGGAAGGGAACTAGAGTTTTTATTGTTACTTTTAAATCAAAATACTTCTAACATAAAGATATCCCTGGCTAAGAAAGGATTGCAGGTACTGTTCTTAAGACCAAATCAGTTCCTAACTCTAGTAAGCACTTTCTAGATCAGCTGCCTGTTTTTTTTGTTGGCAGTGATAGGGTGTGGCTGGTGATTCGGGCTGTGAAAGAATTCACAATGAAAAGAAGAGATGTAGAGAGGAAGTTTATTTTACTTTCCCTGAAGGGAAAGGACCAAGTATTGCTAATCAATACAGGGCAAGAAGTAAATGGCAGCCTGCTCTTCTAAGCAGAGGCTGTAGCTAAGCAACAAGGAAGGGAGGGGAATTTTGGGCTGAAGTTGAGTAGACATCAGGGAGGTTGTCTTGAAAAAATTATAGTTGGTTTGTTTTTCAGGAGACAGTCCAGGCAGGTGTCCTAGGGAGGTGTCTTATCAGTATTTTTCCTAAGCCTGTAAAACATGCTTAGAATAAAAGTTATTAAAACTTCAAAAGAGGCGTGTTTGAAGGGGATGGGGGAAGGGAACTTTTTACTAACTAGAGACCCCTTGGTGCGAATTATCCCTGAGTTGTAAAAACAGCAGGGAGGAGGGGTGTGCAAGAATGTAGCCTTGAGAGTAGCTTATCTTGTCTTGCAGTTTGAGCAGAGGGGCTGTTTGAATCAGAGGAGCTAACAATCTTAGGGTTTAACTGCCAGGTGCTTCTCATAAATTGTAGAAGGCTACAGCAAAGAAAAAGAAAGCCTTTTTTTCTGTCCTTACAGGCAGGACTTATAAAATGCTCTCTTTGGGGTGTACACTTTTGGGAAATAATTTTTGGATAGTTCTAAATAATGTGCATGTGTCTTCATGGTACACAGAACTGCTCAGATGCTCTCATCAATTATGGCACAGTAAAACTTGTTCCCTTTTCCTTCTAGGAATTGTGAATTAATGTATAAATATTGATATTAGAATTGGTATGCTGCTCCCAAGTCTTTGTTGGCTTATCTGGTATGAAATGCTATTCATCCTGAATAATTACCATTACCATATTTGTTTTTTGTATAAGTATTATGCTGGATTCAATTTTAAAGCTGACTTTTAATTAGGCTGTAATATAACCTTTCCAGAAAACATCTATGCACGAGTTAAAATGCGAAAAAAGTTTATAATTTTGGACATTCTTTCTGGACCCATTTGATCTTTGTTTTTCGCTTTTCTCCCCACCCAGTTCATTCCCTTTTGAAGTCTGCATTTAATAGCATAGCCATAGAGAAGGAGAAGCTTAAGCAGATGGTTTCTGAGCAGGATCACAATAAAGGCCACAGCACACAGATGGCACGACTCCGACAGTCACTGTCTCAGGTAAACGAGAATGTGTGTTTCAAGCTCATACATATTCCCATCCCTGTATGGCACAAATGGGGGTGGAGGCAGTTGGTCATGAGACTGTAAGTCTCCTAAGACATTGAGTATCAGTATTAAATATTATTACTTTTTTTCCATAAAATGTCAAGGTAAGAGTGAAATCAACCAAACTTACTTGCAAATATATAATGATTTTGGCTGATTGAATACTTTTAATGCCTCTTCATGGTTATGTATAAGGCAGTCTCTGGTTTAAAGAAAAAGAATCATGCATTTATACATGGTTTACACATCTAAAATATGGTCGGGGTATATTCAATCCAATGTTAGAACAAACATCTACTAGGGCCCTAACCAGTTTGGCTCAATGTATAGAGTGTTGGCCTGGGGACTGAACAGTCCTGGGTTTGATTCATATGCCTGGGTTGTGGACTTGATCCCCAATAGGGGGCATGCAGGAGTCAGCTGATCAATGATTCTCTCATCATTGATGTTTCTGTCTTTCTCTCCCTTTCCCTTTCTGAAATCAATAAAAATATATGTATTTTTAAAATCTACTAGGTATTCCATACTTAATATTTTTTCCACTTAAAATACATTTCAATCTATTGAAAGTTACTGATTACTGTTATACCTCTTTTTTCCTGATTTGTACTCTTAGGGTTTTCTTCCTATTTAAGTTATGTTCTCTAAAGTTATACTTTCATATTTCAATATATATTATCTAGTAGATATTACTCAATACCTATTCATTATGTAGTGTTCAATATATATTAAATTTATCTTATGAATATTAATTAAATCCCATGTATTTCAAAGTTGAAATTTCTGATTAAAATCCTTTAATGCAATACTTATGCTTTTTTTACACTGAGTACTTGCTCTGAAATTAATATTTTCTTTAGTTTATAAATGTACTTTAAAAAATTTCGAGAATTCAATGCTGTTATGTGATTTTGTGTGAGAACTCAGTGTTTATATAAAATATTGTTCACTTCCTGGTGCCTTGGATCAGAGTGAAGGAGCAAGCAAATCCTGGGTAAGTGGTTTTCCATGTGGGTCAGCTCCTGCTTGAACACTTTCCCTCAATCCCTAGGAATTAGACTGAAACTGTCTCGCCATGTTTTATGTACCTGAACTGTCAGTTTCTTTTCAATGTGAAGTTTCATGTTATTGAGTGCTGTTATCTGGACCATGTTTTCTGTGTTCAGTTAAGGTGAAACACTGCCAGTTAAGGTGCATATCCTGCTTCCAGTGCAAATCTAGGGACTTGGGAGCATGAGCATCAAAAGCAGCAGCTATGTGCCAGTCTGCAGAGGGTTTTAAGCACATTAATGGTTTTCCCTGGACAGCAATCATGGCATGTATTTGTTACAAATACATGCTATGAGTCCATGTTAATTGACCTTCTAAATAATTATTCTAAAAGTATCATGAATCAGAAGATCAAAATAATGGTGAAGTAAACATGTAAATGTCGTCTTGTAAACATAAAATGCACTCTTGCCCCTACATGCTGCAATGTTTCCTTAAGATGTATCTGTTTGTGGAGGCTTAGTAATAAGAAAAACAAGAAAATGTGTTTGATTTTTGCTTGCTTGCTTGCTTTTATTTACTTGTTGGTAAGACAGAGAATGGCAAATAGAGGTCTGGGTTGGGGCATCCAGTGAGATTAGAAATGATGAGAAAGAGAAATTTTTAAAGTTACTCATTTGTTTATTCTTTTATTCATTTCATTCAGCTGACCATATATGAAACATGATGCAAGGTGTGGAATAGCAACATAGAAGTAGGCCTGGCCATGTTCCCAGGAAGCTCATGATCTGACTCATGAGATGAGCAGTGTTTATCAGGAAACAGTTAAGCGGACCATGCTGTAGTCCATTCACATTGGCACGTGGATGGTGCAGATTCCCAGGGCTCTGGTCATTCAGAGGAACGGAGGAGCTCTGAGCTGTGAGCAGAGCCACAGCTCAGGAGGAACTGAGCCTTGAATTAGGCCTGAACATACAGCAGAAGCTCACAGGGAAGGACCTGATGTTAACATGTCAAAAGTAAAATATAGCAAAATTATATCAACTTTGCATCCTTTGGGTTTAATATTTCCTTCCCTCATCAAAACATATTTACTTACATCTAGACCTAGAGCCTCAATAGATTTTTGTTGTTCTTATATTTTTTTAACCAAAATGCTCAATTTTATCCTCAAAAGATGTAAAAAATAATTTGGTACTATAAAGATGGTTAGTTATACCCTATTCACAACAGTTCAGTTCTTCTAATTGTGTATTATCACAGCATTTTGGCTATGTTCACACTCTAGTGTCAATCTCTACCTTCCCATTGAGCCAATCCTACTCCCCTCACCTCTGAGGCTGGTCTTTCTTTCCCTGTAGCCTTGGCTTAGACATTTAAGTTTACTGTCAGTTCACTCTTTAAAGAATCACTCTCCGTGGTTAGACCACTGGAGAGCTATCTGGAGAATGGCAAAAACATGGAGTGAACAGGAAGCATTAGTCTAGGAAGAGGAGTTAAGCAGGTAGGGATCAGTTCATTAGGGACCACACAAAGGAGTTGAGATTTATCTTGTCAATGTTGGGGGGGGGGCTTAATTTTAACTAATGCGTGAAATCAGAATTTCAGAAATTGGAAATATTACTACATGTTTTTGTATATTAGAAGAAGGAAGGGATTAATTTCAGAAACACTGAGAGGGAAGAATCAGCATGGATCAGAGATCAACTGAATATTAGAAAGGGACAAGGAGATAGAGTCAAAACTAATTTTTAGGTTGTTTACTTGCATAGATGGTAGTTCTTTCCCCAAGAGAGGGACTACAAGAGGAACTGATTTGGCAAAGGTAAATAATGAGTGGTTTTTGTGGAGACTGATGTGACTGTGGAAAATCTAACAAGTAATTAGGTATGTAGATCTTGAGCTCAGGGGAGAGATCTGGGCTGGAGAGAAAGATAGATATTCCAGTATGTCGCTGAAGTTATAGATGTTGATAAATTGTGTTTTCAGTCAGAATAAAAGAGAATCAATGGTGCTGCTGCAGAGAACATAAATAGAAGACAGGCTGAAAAAAAAAAAAAAAGAGGATCCTTTGATGGAAACTCAGTGAGGCAGCCAAAGAATCTAGATAGTGATGACCATTGAGATCAAGGTTAAAGAGTTTTGATAAAGTCAATAAGGAAATGGTTAGCAGAATCTGATTTAGCAGCAAATAACATATAGACTGAAAGCAAATAAGGAGACATTGAAGGTGGGAAACAATTAACTGGTAGAGCCATCATTTGATTGGCCAACTCTAATTGTATTGTCCCTCTTTTAATATAGCACTTAGAATTGAAGCAGATGTTAAGTAACTTTAGAACATTGAGACAGTTGTTAATGTTTCTATATTAATATAACTTCACATTGCAGTGTGAATTTAGATAGCCTAAAGACATCTTTGATCCACATTCAAATGTCGTCAGTTAAATCCCCAGTTATTTATTTTATGACCTGTTAGCAAGTCAAATCTCCCCACAGGGAAGGAAGTAGATAGACTGTATTTAAATAACTTCTTAAACTAGTCTAACATCTTTAAAGCATATTTTTTATTTGACATAAGTCCTATTTGATATATATCTTATGATTAAAATGCTGTTTTTCAAGAAAGCTTTAAAATATACCAACTTGGCAAATTCCATCCTTTTAGAAGGCACAAAGTATATAATATACATGAAATTAGCATTCCTCACTACAGGCTCAGCCTAAATTGTTACCTGCCTTGGGCATGTAATAATTTGCAAGACTCAATAGTATAATGAATCCCTCTTCTAAAGTGATGTTTCTCCCCTGATCTGTGTGTACACAAAGACATACATAATTCTGTTGTTTTACCTCCATGAAACTTTAAAAGTAACTTTCACATCTGAGAGGCAGTACAGATGCTGGATTCAAGCCTGTAGGACAGACCATTATATGTGACATGTAGCCCTTTATAATTGACTTTATTTCACAACAGCTATAGTTTTGTGTTTCAATGAATGTAAAATCCTGGACACCAAATTCAAGTAGTATCAATAAGACTAAGGTAACCTCAGCCCTCCAGATTACTATAATAATAAAAGATTCAACTTAACTTGAGTCTGTCTTTAATACATTATACTTTATTACTGTTATTAATGTGATTTCTGGCCCCAAAATTTGTGCACAGCTTGTGCTAAATGCAGTGGGTGTTGTGTCTATACAAATGTGAGCATCAGAATATGATCCTTCTATTCCATCTAGAATTACTGTACTTCATTAAACCAAAATGCCACCAATTGTTAGATGGACCATCATTTTGTGCATTACTAAGAAACAAAAACTGCTGTCAATTAAAGTGACTCGGTGCTTCAGAGGTGTTAAATGTGGGGGGAAATGTGCATCTTAAAATTAATGAACTGTGGTGTGTATGGAAATGTAAGCAAAAATTTGGCTTAAGGCACAGAGTAGCATAATTAAAATCCCAATCATAGAATTTACCATCCTGTCTATCTATAGCATTCACATACCCCAAATAAATATTAAATGTTGAGATAAAAGTTCCATATATATTTGTTTGTTTCTGAATTCAAGAGTTTCCTGAGACTTGGCCAAATTTTTTCTGTTCAACGATATCCTTCATGGAATCTTTTAAATCTTTTTGTTTGTTTAGCTATACAGTAGCTTCAAATTAATATAATTATCAACATGAGTTGGCAATATTAATTAAGGCCTTAACCCTTTGGTCCATGGCTGATATCTGTAGTCTAAGAGGTAAAACTGAATGCAGAAATCATTACGCTCTTGATCATTCATGGCAGCTTTATTTAGTCTAGTAAAATTCAGTAACAGCCTAAGTGCCAATAATAGGAAATAATCGCTTATTATGCAACTATTAAAATCATGTTTATGAATATTTTGCACCATAAAATAAATGTTTATATGCAAAGAATAAGTGGCATGTATAACGTGAAGTATGCACCATTGCATAAGGTAAAAAATACATAGGAAAAAATATACCAAGCTATCAATGGTTGGTTGATTGAGTATTAAGGTATGAGTTTTTAAAAATATATTGCTACTTTTTGCATTTTCAAAATATAGCATAGTATAAACTATACTATAAATATACTACATTTTCCAAGTATATGTATTTTTTCATTGAAAAAACAAGGTTATTTTAAAGAGATATCCAGAATTTGATTCTTGGTAGCTCTAACTGGGACAGTTTCCATACTCATTTTCTCATTCCTTTTGAACCAGTTTTGCTTTGACCCAAAGAGTTTAAGTCTCTGATTATTCCATCTTGCCCTCTGTTTTATATCCTTCTCCAGCCATCAGGCCTTCCCAGAACCCACAATTCCATTTAGTAAAAAGTATGTATGCCAAAGTCTCACCCAGCCTATGGCAAATTCTCACCCATTACCTGGTTGGGTGGATGAATGGTAATTCATAGCCAGGGAGATGGAGATTGGGGCAGTTGACTCTGGCTCACATCTTCAAGGTGATAACTTCTTTTATAGCTTGGGAAGGAGTTGTGTATTTCTTGGATATACTAGACTTGAGTGTGTATGAGATGTTGGGGAAATGCACATACCATGTGGAGAGTTTTAGTGAAGTCCAAGTTCATTAACAAAGGCAAGTAGTGAGAATAAGTACAGAACCTGCCTGGTGAAGAATCTAGGCAGAGTTCCTGAGCCTCCCTGTTAGGCTTCTGGTCCTACATGCCGCTAGTAGACCAATGTTACTACTAACTAGTCCCCATAGCTTTTCTTGCTCGTTGGCTGATGGGAGCGGCTGGGGATCTGCCTCCTTTTTCCTTGCTTCGTCCAGGCTCCTTGGGTGCATTCCATACATTATTTCTGCCATAATCTGGCATCTTCCATATTAATTATCACTAACAGCATCATTTCACTGAACATACCTGTATTCCTCAATGTTCCCAAGGCCTCCGAGATATAATTACAGAGAAAGTAGTTGAGTTTTAGGGAAGGAAATAATAAATGTGGTCCTGAGCACTGCCTGACAGCTCTACACCACAAAGCTCATTAGTTGTAGCAAACATCAGAAACAGTCCCTAGGGGAGGCGGGGGGAATGTCA